GGTTTACGCAAGGCCCGCCAGACTTCGAACTGCTGACTGCACCATTATGTAAAATGTATGAAGTGCATCGGCACCAGCGTTTGATGGCTTGTGGTAACTGTGCAGAAACATCATTTAATTACTGGGTATAAAAATGACATTGACCAATCGTAATGGAACCTCTAGAAGTTAACCTTCAGGTTCGCTCCAGCAGCTCGTATTCTAAAATACAAATGCAACTGCTATGAGTACATATTTTGTTTTATTCGTCATCGTGGAAAATATAAGGTCTTCATAATGGCAGATATAATATTATTTGCTCGAACTAAACCCTATTGAAAGATTGCGTAAATAGCACCAACGATTACTTATTGATAGATTAAGCTCTTCATATAAGATAAAAGCCAACTGTGAGTATGACCATGGTTGCGCTTTCTGTAAGTACTACCAACTGGCCGTAAGTGTGCCGTGTGTATACAAAGCCGTTGTTAAAACACAGCTCTTTTTATACCAATGTAAAATTCGGTTACATAATACATTGTATATTTCGAGAGAGGGCTCTCCGAGCATAGAAAAAGTAATGGTTTTAACACCGGGCATATTTTGCCACACATGATAGTAGCTTAGTCCGTCGTAAAGGTTTCACTAAAAAGCAGATGGGCGGTACCTCTGCCTCTGCCATATCATCGCGTGACCACGAGAGCACGGCGTCAGTCCAAGTGTCGTGCTGCTGTCACGTTGCTACCGTGTTCCATTCGCGGAAGGGGGGAAAAGCCGTTTCGGAAAGTCTGCTACCCTTCTAACGTAATTCTCCATTCCGGGGCCTCCTACAATTATCGACAGACCTGTCACTGTAACCTCAACAGCTGCACCTATAGCAACGATAATCATAGCGGGGGAACTAATAACAAAATGTGCGAAAGGCCGCTAACGGCGGCCAGAGCGAAAACTACTTCTGCTTTCGCATACCGAGCCTACAACGAAACCTCGCCGGTGTGTCACACTTGTTAAAAATTGATACCACCAGGTTAGTGGGGCACGAGGAAGGCTAAGAAGGTGGAAACTTTACTTTTTTTTTTCTTAATTTTCTTTTTTTCGAGGGTAGACGGGAACGGGGGAAGACTGGTGAGCTATTCTGGATGCGTTGACGAAACCCTGTTGTGTGGACAATGTACACTGCCCGCAGTGTAATAGCCGCTCCCTAAAAGGAGTCAATGGGACTCAAAGCGCCGGGTGTACGCACTAGAGCAACACAGTGTGCGGGAACGAGTTGAACAATGTTTCGATCGATGGATTATTTTGGACTCCTAGTTTTTTTCTTTTTCACTGTCATTCTTGCATCCTTAACCCTGCTTTGTTACTCATTTAACTTCGTCAATTTATCACCCCGGAAAAAGAGAAAGTCACCCAAAGAGAAAGCCCCGGAGAAGGTCACCCCGCACAAAGCTAGAGAGAAAGCGGCCATGTCTGATAGGCTTCAAAAATAGCTTACTAGCGACATCTATTGAGCGGGCATTATGGAAACATGATGAGGTTAAGTCAGCAACATCATTTTGTGTAGTCCATACGACTATATATACGAATAAACATTGCAAAATTTGAAGCGATTGATGATTAGCAGTCATACAAATATATCAGGCGTCCAAGTAATAGAGCTGATTCAAACGTATGCGAAAAAAAAAAATGCGTGCTATCACATTGTAGAACGATCGCTAAAATTAATAATATGTACACAAATTTTAGCCATTAAGTTAAGCAGATACTAAAAAGTCTACACTAAAAAGAAAGTGCTTTCCCAATCGAATCAGATGGAATTTTTCAATAGCATTGTAGCAAGTACCATATCGGTAGAAGGTCTCTGATAGTTACATTGAACTCTGTTGATGATGTTAAAAGTGCCATAATGAGCAAGGCATGAAACTTTAATTGACATTTTCTACATACACTATCAAGGACTGTACACTCCAGGTTTCTATTGTATGGTGCTTTTATTCGTGTCCACTACGATCGCTTATAAAGGAGCGAGCGAACCGCCATACCGTCATGAACCGCCAAGAACAAGTTTTTACAGCTGTTTACTTATAGGGTTATTATCAGGAGTGCGTGAACTAAGGAAAGGCCTAGCATTAAGGACTTGCAAGTATTTACAGTATTGTAAATATTACCATCGGAAACAAACAAACAAAAAAAAAAAGAAACCAAGAATAATTTCAGTTAGTTTCTCAAGTAAATTCAATCATTTTATCGAATTTGGTCTGGACACAGCTAGTAAACTTAGCACTCTTCTGAGTAAACTACTTCTATAAAATATCGGATCTAAGATGTTTTCTAAGCATTAACTTCTCATGTGCCTAATTGATTTAAAAGAAATGGTTGTTTAGTAATGTGTAACTTAGCAAATATTTTGAATTTATAACAGAACCGTAGAACATGATCGTGTAAAAGCAATGTCACTATAAAAAACACGAACAAAGGGGTGGAACGAATTCATAGGTCAATTTCTTGTTCGGTCATCATACAGCTTTGAGCAATATTTTTTTTGCAAATTATTATGAAAAATAAATAGAACCGAATGGCTGAAAAAAAAAAAAAATATATATATATATATATATATAAGAGAACAAAGATAATTATACGGCTTGAGGAAAAATATATAATAGGATTAATGCGTATTTGTAAGGAACAATATATATGTATATTTTTTTTTTCTCAAATTCAATAGACAGCCAAGGATGTATCAGCTTTGCTATCGACTTTAACGTTAGTGAGCGCGACGCTATCTATTTTTCGTGGCCTTGCCTCACGATTAGGGCCATTCGAATTCTACCGTTAATGTGCTAAATCTATGGGAATACCCTTTACTATAAAGAAAGTAATCTAGGGCAGGTATAATGCGACACTTGAAGATCTATACATCTTAATTGTAAATTAACCTCATAAGAAACACTCCGCTAAATCTCTTAATAAGTTAGATTAGGATTTTTTTATTCGGACGCTGCCAGTCGATTTATAGAGTGCTCTGTTTTTACATAAATAAAGGGACAAATAAGGTAGCAGTTTTTATTTAGGTTGTTAATTTGAGCGTGACTGCGTATCCCACTGTCACCATGCATCGCTACTGACTGATTATCTTCGGAATCAGCATTGGCCCACCGACACCGCAAATCTAACGTGTCCCCGTCCACATGCGTCCCAAATCTATAGGATGAACTTGAATACGATTTGATCTAATTTCATCTAACAGTTAATGTTTGCAAAATCGATTCTGGTAGCAGAAGTTTTTTTTTTTATTGAATCTCTGATCCAGAAGTATATGGTTTGATGTATAAGTTAGAGTACCATATTGAATTTTAACATAGATCTTTTAGACGGTTAAATATTTTACCTAAATAAGGATCATAATCTGGCACGCTTAATGGCAGTGCCAGCTGGAAAGACGAAAGGCGTTTATTTATATGCAATTTTATATGTATCACAGTAGTAGACAGAAAAAAGTTCAAATTGATGGAACGAAAGTTGTTCATACAGTCGAAACGTTCCCCGATCAGCAAAACATTGTTTGGAGATAAATAGAGAAATTCTAATGAAATAAGATTCAGCTCTGCATATTGTTGTCAACCCAAAGTAATTGTCTTCATTTCATAAAAATATCTCATGCTTTTTTTTAAGTATAGTCGTATCTATTTGACGAACCTGCGACCATATCCATATAAACGCGCACTTTTTTACTTATGCGGCATATAAAGTAAGTAGCCTGCCGAAATAACTGGTGTGTCGTGCTCCTTTGTCGCTGTCGTCGTATGTATAAACATGGCATATTTCTAATAAACAGTGTCAAGGTTCTAATGAAACTTTGTACTGCTATACGAAATGATTGATCAAGCGACGGAAGACTCAAGATTACACACAAGAAAATTCTATTGGTTTGCCATATTCCACTATAACATATATGCAATACGCGTATGACGCGTCTTGCATAGGGACCCACAAGCTTACGGCAGCAGGTGGTTTTTCGAAAGTAGCTTACCGCTCTCTAACAACCGCAAACGGCTCTTCTCTCTTACTTACCTAATAAATGCCTTCCCTCTCCCTAAATAAATTACCAATGAGGGCGCTGCGTGCAAATGATGCGAGGAAGGGCGTTCACTTGGGCACCGTAACTCGTTTGGAGGCGCAAACCCATAAAACAATTTTCGGCGGTAGCCTACCTCAATTTAATCTATGAGAAGCCCAAAGCGTAAGCAAATACCTAAGCTTTGATCGCGGATGTTATAAATGGGATGATTCCTGCTTGCTTGTATGTGTATTAGTGCGCATCTCCACTACTAGGTTCGTGTTTATTTTAGTGAGCAGAAACAACAACCAGTAGTACACAAAGTAATTCTACCTCATATTTGCTTTAATGGAAAGGGTTTGGTTAGTATGTCCTTATCAATTATAAGTTGTCTTTAAAGGAACAGGCATTGATTTCACAAGGATCCCAGAAATGGAATAGATACGCCACTAAGTGGGGTTTGTATGCGTCATCGCCTCAAACGTGCCGTGAGTCCATCGTTATTGTACCGCTGCGATTATCTGGCCACGCTTGCGGAACATCGGAAGCTTTTGTCTGACTACCAGGTCAGTTGCTCACTCGTCTATGCGACAGCTAATTAGGAAGAGACCAATGGAACTCACTATCATTGACTAACGGCGCGTATCGATCGATTCCTGACATGCTGGTTATCGCCCGCTCGCAGACCGTGGATCTGCTATGGGAATCTAGATCGACCAATCTCAATGTACCTGCACGATCGTTGATCATTTGCTCTGCGTCAAACAAGTCGCTCAGGAAAACAGCTGCATGGTGCCTTGAAGCTCTTCTGTAATAACGATGCAGAAACTATCGGCACATTGACAATTCTTCAATTGCTTCTATCTTTAGCTAATATCGGATATAAAACGGGGACTATTTATTTTAACGCTGGGGGCGAGCAGCTTACTTGATTATATACTTCGTCTATCTAACGTAATTCATCTAGATGTCCCCGATGTGAAATCTATAGCGATGCCCAAATCACTCATCAACAAGTACTTCCACCCAGGTAGTTGTATGTATGTATCTGTTGAGTGTTGAGTGGTGTATTACGGTTCTGGTGTAATGAGAATGTTCCAGCGAGTTACTTTATTCTATCTTTCAAAACGGAAAGAAATTGATTTTTAGCAAAACGAGGCAATTTCATGTTACCACCATCAACTAATGAGCCACCGAGTGCTTCCTAGACCAGCCAAAACATTAAAAAAGTGCTCTATCTATCGTTCTCTAATGACTTGAGTGCAATACTCGACAGGTTGATAGTGGCTTTCTAATTCTGTATGACGAATATTCAGAGCAGATACTTGTAAATCGTGTGTGTACGGATACTATTAAATAACATTCAAGTGCCTTAATAGAACTGGTTGTGGTCATAACCTAATAGGAACTCGTGTGACCTCTTAAACTACAATTGAACCAAGGAATCAGCATCTTTATGATAAGTTTCTGTGTGGAGGATCGAAGAGATGGACGTAGACGATTGAACTGAAAATATTGTAGGAAAAAATTTAGAGCCCAGTTAGTAGCCTGCTGTTTCCTTGAGAAGATGCGGTCGGAGCTAGTTCTTCAGTTTATGGCCGGTCTCGAACTGGGCCGATTGTGTTTAGCCCAGTGGGATCTTCTGCCCAGTCCTAACCAGGAGCCATCCAGAGGTACCTTTGTTATTGCCACTGGAAAGATGAACATCACTGTCAACAGAAGTCCTTTTGAGGAGCGGCGGGTAAGTTATTCTTTACTACAAGCTGGCTTATTTTTTTTTCTGCGAAATCAGCATATCTAGTTCGATTTTTATAAAAACATACGTTTCGAACCCGACCGTCTTCTGTCCCCCTAGGTGATTTAGACGTAGCCTATTGCCTTGTTTTGTTGTTTCCACAAAATATCTATTATTTGTAGAAATATCCCGCTTGAACTCAAAACAGGATATTTGAAAAATGTAAACCTTATAAAGGTTGAAAGTTGTTAAGTTGAAAAAGGTTGAAAAGTTTGTGTATATATACCGCAACTATTTTCTGTTAGTACTATCGCCTACTAAGGTATACTAAAGTGTACTAAGGTACTATATTCAAAATCTGTCGATATATGGGGTTTCCTAGAAATATCCTGACATTACTCAAAGAAAAAGACCAAAGATACTTACAGGAAGTTTCAGAACAAGCATCATGACAGAAAAAAATACCTGAAAAAAATCAGACAGAAAAAAATCTATGCAATGGCTGTGCTTCGTTTATCTAAGCACTTCATATATTGTAGTCACCTTTATACTATTACCTTTGTTAGCTTGATTTCCCTGAGATACAGTTCGATTTACACGATTTATCATATTATATCTGTCCTATCTTCATCTTGATGGCACTTCATTTCAGAGAACAAGCCTCACCACTACCGATTGCTTGTTTTCCTATACCATTCTTTTTAATTCTTCTTTTTTTCATTCTTTTTTTTTTAATTGAAAGCATGATGCTTTTAAATAAATCGTTTATGTAATGGCCGTGTCTTTAATTTCAACGATCCTGTTAAAGCGTATTACTTTTTAAAGCGTATTATTTTTTTTATCGTCATCTTTATAAAATTATTTATCTCTAATTAAGCGAGATAGAGGTTTGCGTTCAAAACAAACTAACGTTTACTGTTGTACCGCAGCAAACACGATTTAATTTTAAGATAATTGAGAAGCGTAATGTTTGTCTGAGCCTGTTTCCGACCACCACGGTAGTATAGTGGTTCCTTAATATCGGGAAACGTGTGTAGGTAATAATATATATATATATATATATATATAGTAAACGTTCATCCGATTTTGCTGCCAATTTAACATTGACGATATTGCTTTGTAGAAGTCTGGTGGGAAAAATCATGGTAGATTGTAAAACAAGTCGACATTTTAGCTTTGAAATTTGTTGCTAATATTCGATAATGCTTATAGAATAAAAAATTATCTCTGAGTAGAGCACTTGTGTTTGGGCGAATTAAGAGAAACATTATATAATCAGAGATACTTTCAGGTGCATATACATCCGTTTGCGACAAACGGCGTTTAATATTATGAACTTCCGTTATAAAAGTCGCGAGTGGCCGGAGCCTAGGAATTTCGTAGTTTGGATAAGCTTATCTGTATATATACACAAAGATATGTAAAATATCTTGAAATATGTTCGTGAAGTTTCACATTGTTGACGACTGTGTCATCAGCGATGAATTCTCGTGCACGTTTATGTATGCCTTACATGGGGTAATCAGCCTTACAGCAGTAGGTAACTAAACTAGCAGAAAAACTGCTCAGATGCCAGAAAATTGCCAGAAAAGAACTGATTTTTGAGCATTTTGTCGCCATGTTACCCTTATTACCATAAGATAATCGGTGATTCGATGACTGTGTATGTTCCGGTATGGCCGCAGTCGATCGGAATGTCTCGGACTTTACGTCTAGGCCCTGTCCTATATGCGACTTTTACGTGAAACAACGAAAGCTTTACTAACTAGGCGCTATACATATAGTATACGCTAGTAACCTGAAAATGTATAAACAGATGTAAAATATCAAAGGTACGCTAGAAATACAATAAGTCATTGATTGCCTCTCGTCATGTTTGGGATAAACAGAACTGAGACACTGGATGAAGACAACAGATTGTATTGCTCAAATAAGCAAGCTGTTTTTAAAGTAGGTATCTGCAAAAGTTTATGAGTTACGATCAAGAGGCAGAGGAAAATGTTAGCGTGGCTAAAACTGTCTCTGTAGCAGTAAACTGTGTTTCGGCGCAATACTGGTCTAAATACTTAAGATCATATGGCTTTTTCATCACTACCAGACTGACATATTGTGTCCATATATAGATGCCATTTGCAAAAAGGACAGACTTGTGAAACGTGTTTCTCTATGATGCAGTACTTCCCGCGACCAATCCACCTTTCCTAACATTGCTTATGTCCGACATAGTGTTAATACTGGAGCATTTAATATATTTAATAATATTTTTTTTTCAAAATAACACACTTAAGGACCGTTGCACAGTTAGAAAAAACAATTTGAAAAGTAGTCATTCAGTTCAGCCATCTGAGGTAATACAAACTATTTCTTTATATGGCACACAGCCCGCCGCATGCACGAACAAAACTAGCCCAATTACATCATATTATTTCCTTGTTAGTGATCTTGTAAAGGCCTATGCAGGTTAGGGTACGAACTGACGTTTAATTGAGTAGCGCAGATATACCCTAAATAGGAGAAAAAAATCTCTGCTTAGATAAGCTAAGTTCAAATAAATGTCTAACCTATATTTTTCCAACTGTAAACTTTTAATCAGTTCAGGTTACCTCTGTTCTAACATTCTCCTATCACGTGTAGACTAAAACTAGAAATATTTATTATAAATAAATTTTATAGACATTCGCGCTAAGCAGCGGGTTGATTGCCCTTAATAAGAGCAAACTATTCTCCAGTCAGGGGCGACTTAATTCAGTCGAATAGATTTGCCGTTTTTTTGAATCTGCAGAATTAAAACGTATCAGCATAAGCTCTATTATTATTACTATTATTCTCTAATGCGCAACGTAGTTCAAAATTAACGGTTTCATTGGGCATACATTGTGGCCTTGTCAAGCAGAGCTTTATGTGTACCTTCGTAGAGTACTGCTTGCCTTAAGTCCTTTTTTGAAGAGGAAGGTTCCTAAACGGAATCCCTAACGATGTTCCGAAAAACAGTGTAAGCATACAGACATATTGTTACCTATTTTTTTGCAATAACATTAAATAAATGTAACTGGTAATAAGTCAATACCACCCACAGGATGAACCGTTTCTGGTTATAATAATGACACCGCTTTTTGAGCGATGTCGTTATTATAATCACGTTACGAACAACGCCCATCGCTCGTTTCTCCTATAATTTTATTACAAATGGAACTCATTAGGTAAGCAAAGATTAAAATCCTTTTCCCAAATAGTTCGTTTTGAATTTTCTTTAATTTTTCTATTAGGATATATAAACTGAAACCAACGAGGCAAGAATGTTTACCGAAAAAAATCGTACCACCTTTTGTACCTTTATTTCAGTTTTCTAAGTAAATAAATTGATATTTTTTCTTTTACCTCGTCACTATCTTTACATCGGTAGCGATGCTTTTACGAACGCATAAAGTTGACCCCTGAAGGATTTCATAAACACCAAAGCTTATAATATACGATTCCATAAAATTCATAAACTATAGATGATAATCCCCTTCTTTTTTCAGTCTTATTCGGTCAAAACTAAACGTGAGCTTCGCTTACTTTATTATAGAAAAATTGCAATATATGGTTTGTTGTCTGGGTACTTCTGGGTAATTTAAAAAATACAATCAAAATTATTCCTTTGGGAAACTCTGAAAGGATGGATAGTTGAATAATATCCCCGGAGCGAAAGGACTATTAAGGCCAAAGTATTAATATTTATATTCATTTAGGCAAATAGTCGCAAATAATGCATAAGTCGTGTCTCTGGTTATTTTGTCTCATGAAACATTATTTCAATAGTTGAATCAATAACCTCAGCTCGTCTTAAAATAAAACATTTGACTACGATGGCTTCCTTAATCTAACTCGTAAGTTTTCTTACGATACTTTTCAAGTCAGGTTAAAGCGATTTCATAACCAATCAAAAAATCAATGAGATCAACTTTTAGATATTTAATGATCCGATATGGGACCCTGCGTATCAAAGAACAAACCAGAGCGAATCAAGTTGCTTTTGGCATTACCGAACCGGTCCCCTGACCCATGTACGAATGTTAATGCTAATGTACAAGTATAATTGTTTTCAATTCCATTTTTCACATAATCTTTTAAATTTACAGAGGTCAGAATTGAAAGAAAAATGGGTTCGTCTAACTTGCGATATATTTGGCTTGTGCAGGGTGTTGCGTCTAAATCCGGTTGAACTTTGATGGGCTGTCTACTGCAGCGGGCATATGTTTATATGCTATGTTTAGTGGCAGGAGAGGGCCAGTTTCTTCTAGAACAAGGTAGCGAACTTATTATAGCGGGTGACAGTACGCCGTTTTTGTAATATGGGCAAAAACCAGCTATTATAAATCTCTTCTCGCTGGATAAACCCTCCACCAAGATCAAGACCGTAGTTTTTGGCCGTCTACGTCACTGTCGGCTTTTAAAAGGCTTCTTGTTCACGAGAAAAAATGTTCACGAGACAAGCCAGAAGACCTTTAGCAGGGTTTAAGAAGCTCGAAAATTTATCAGAATTATTTAAAAAGCCATTTTTAATATACTTGGATTTTTTCTACAAAAATTAACGTCCGTGTTGAAACACAAACAATAACTGCGAGACATAATGTCCCGATAAGCCATAACGTTTAGTCTTTTCAAAAGTTTTGGGCGCCTTTTAACCTTTTGGCCATTTCGACTACTTGCACTTTTTGAGTTTTTCCAACTGCTGCCAGTCCAGCCTTTAAATCTACGGGAGTTTTTTTTTTACATGTAGTGTACTCGAGCCTTTTCGCACGGGTTTATACTTACCAATATCGTTCAACGCACAATTACTCTTAAAAGTTTTTTGTGTATTTTAAGAATGACTATTGAGCGGTTTAGATTGTTGGAGCTGCAATTTCGGTCGATCGGGCGATACTGAATGAACATCAATGCTAGGCATGAAACAATAGTCAATAGTCGTCGGCCTCGGCCTTGACCTTCGTATAGACCTTGTTGCCGGACCAAAACGTGAACTGGCAAGTTATCAATTGCCCCTTCGGAAATTTTTCGTAAATTCAGTCGGCTTGCGATAGTTGTGGTTCAAGTCGACCATAGGCTGAAATCTAACAAACGCATCTCAGTTTTGATCGGTATTTACTAAATCTACGTTAGTTAAGTCTGTTTTTTGCCTACGTCTAATGAATCTATATAGACTTGCGACCAATCTCAACGGCATTTAGAATTCGACGTACAGGAAGATGCTGTTAAGCATTTTTCTGTAAGTCAGCATGCTAAGAGCGCCTGTATGCCTTGTAATGTTTGTTTGACTCGATAGTTCGAAGTAGGTAATAATAGGAGTAGGAATAATAGGAAATGGAATAATAGGAGTATAGTAGGAGATAGGTAAAAATATTATAATTGTAGAGCGTATTTGGAAGGGCATTCTTATACAATTTATTGATGCCGTTTATCCGTTCGTGTCATGTTTGTTTTACAGCGCCCTCCTGGTTGCCGCTACCCATGTAACTGTCCCGAACGGAGTGTTACGTGTCAGCATGGAGTTACCAAAGCCAAAGACGGCTGTCGTTGCTGCGATATGTGTACTCGTCAACACGGTGAACAATGCGATGACGTGTACGTTTGCGATCCTCGAAGAAAGCTCGTATGTGACCACGGTATATGTCGCGGTACGTACCTTAAGGAAACTGTCTGGTCCTAGAAACTTGCTCTTACTCTTGAGTGCGCAAAGTATCGAAATATTTCTGACCAACAATATTGAAATCTAATTTCTCCTGTTGTCCAAAATACGGCGTGCAACTCCCTGTGTGTAACTAAGTCTTTCCAGATGCAGTAAATTTCTGATCGGTGTGTGGCATACAATGGCGAAGCCGATGGGAAATAGGTAAAAGAATCCGGTGAGGAATTAGTCAGGCAGATAGAGCAGAATATAGAAAACAGGTAATTATTAACCTTGCTAGAGATCTAACTCAAGAATGCGAAAGAGTATTGGGCAGAGTAACGTCCATTAGAACGGTACAATTTTTTTGACTTTTTTTTTTTTTTTCCTGATCTTGTAATTACTTCGATAGTATAGTACCAAGTAGCCTGGAGCGATAGAGTAGGATTTTTAGTCTTTAAAGCCCGGCACTTAACCCCTTCAAACTCTCGGCGTCCATGAAGTTCAAGCCCAAATACGCAAGTCTTATATGATAATAGCAATACTGGTTACAATTTGTCTGGTTTGATAGTTATGCCATGCGCCACCGAAATTAGAGAAGCGATTCATTTAGTGGATGTTCGAAGCGATGTAAAGGAGACGCTGGGCGTTGCTAGCGACTGAGGTTGGATGCCATAGTTTAGGAAGCTCCAGCGTTGTTACTGTTTGCGTAGCCTTTTTCAAGATAAATAGTTAAAACACTAAACGTTGAGTTTATCGGTCTTTCCCTCATGTCGAATCTCGTATTTTATATTATATCTAACCTAATATATATATATATATATATATTAGTCGAAAAATGTTCATCGTTTTTTTTAACTATAAGGCTTCAGAGTCACATACAGGTAATATGAGTTGTATTGGGTCGGCATTAATATGATTTGAAAGCTCAGATTTGATCATAGAAGATGTACTGTTAGCATGTTTATATTCAGACCTATAGCGTCCTTAAGGTGAGTGAAATTTCAACGAAAATTCGCTGTATCTTACAACTTTGTTTCGATAAAAGCACAGATGTCGCCCCGGCCCACAAAAATGTGTTCTCTGTGGTCGAGATGTGTTACGGAAGAACGGTCCAAGGAAATCTCGTTGTGAGGCATACAACTTCCACAACCAATTACAAAAAAAAAAGTTAAAATCATTGCGAAAACTGAAGAAAGCATGTTGCATTGCCGAGGAAATAGACACCCACCACTAAGCGTTTAAACAAAGCTGGCTGCAAAAGGATGCTGTGTATTTGGATACGATACGGGTGACGCACAAGAATTTCTCAGGTCGTATTTCCATTTGCAACCCTACAGAAAATTAACAAAATCCAACCATTTCCTAAGCAGTTGCTCATGGGTGATAAAAAATTATATTTACTACAAGAATAATACGCAAGTAAGAAAAAATTTGTGTGTCTCACGATCTGCGGCAAAGCTAGATTGACACAAAGGAAAGAGAGGCTAGGGTAGTTGTCGGGAATAAAAGGGAATGGTGCGTTGAATTACTGTTGCAGGACAAAACGATTCCCTCGGACCTCTGCTGTCAGCAACTAAAAGGATTACTACAGGCCATTGACTAAAGGCGACTGAAACCAATGGATAGAAAAGGCGTCGTCTTCCACCATGACAACGCCAGACCACACTTCTGTCTACCTAGCAGACTTAGGTGGGAAATGCATCCGCCTTATAGCCCATATTTTCCACTATTTAATTATCACCTGCTTTGGTCTCTTCAAAACTCCCTAACACACATTCATTCGTGTCAGACGCGTTCATTTAGTTTAAATGGAGGGATGCAGAAATCGCTTGTTTCTTTCGTGCAGAAATGACAGAAATGCTACAATGATGAGGGATTACAATGCTAGTGGAAAATTAGCGGAAGGTCATCGATCAAAACGGCGCATGTTTAGTCTAGCAATATTTCTTTGCAATATAAAAAAAATACGTACTTTCATTTTGAGCTAAAGATAGTCAATATATTTTTCAAATATCGGGGTGCATTAGCAGATAGGCGAAAGAGATATGAAGAGGACAACAGGATTAAATAAGAAAATAGTCGGAATTGTGGTCGTTCGTTGGGTTAATTTGTAGTTGGCTTGCCTTATAGGATGAAGTTAGGCGGATGTATACCTGCGCTGATCTTGCATCAAAATAAATCTCCAAGTTATAGGCAACAGCTAAATCTCTTAACATATGTATATGTGATTATTTTTTTTTTCTAATTTAGTAGACGGAAGGTTATAACATATTGTGTTTACGGCAATGTCGAATTGGGCATAAAATCAAAATAGGCCTGCACTATTTTTTCGACTATAATGACCAAACTAACGGCACTGCATTTGAATCCCGATATTATGGACATAGACTTGCAGCTGCAAATAAATAGACTGCACATCTTCGTCAAGCAATTTCCACAAACGAGACAATGTTGTATTTCTCTTTGCTTTAGCTGAACCTTTTTTGCTGAAAATGTTTGCCCATGCCCCTATTGATAACTTGTACATTAATAAATACGTTTTTACCTTTATTTGGACCCTAGCTAGAAATGTATAGCGTTATAGGTTCCTTTCTATCGGAAACTGAGGTTTTTTCAAATGTGGGTTATATTTAATGTGTGCATGCCTAATAATTTTCTGATATCCAATTTACAGAAGTAGATTGGCAGTAATAGAACTGACTGGCTCAGAAAATACGGTATGAGGTATGCAATTATCAGCTTCATACATAATGATATAAATTGTAAGGTGCGCAACATCGTCTACGTTCAACTAGTAGTTGTCTAAAAATAGCACAGCTGCAGTGTGGATCTCATTTTATGTGCGTAGATTTATAATCAATCGACAAGCCATCTTGGTCATTTCGAACCTAGAACGATCGAATTAGCTATGGTAGCGTCAATCATCGCGTGCGTATTAAGCGTATCGGTCTTACGAGAACACATAAATATGCTAGAAGAAATGTATAGACTACCTGTGGATAGACTGAGCAAAATAATGAAAATTGTCAGAGGTTGTCCAGTGTTGTTGAAACGTTGACATTGAATATGTCCTAGACACATGTGAGTCAGTTGGCCATTTTTATCGTCGCGTAGATACAAACGAATCCCTGTATTCCTTAGTTCGTATGAAGACTCGCATGCACACTACGACCTGATGGACGAGACCGTGTTGCAGGCTACACGAAGATAGTAGCTTCGATACGAAGTGTACTATTATGAAGTTTATGCAGCGAACCATTATACCTCGAAGTATTAACACCCATATTCGGGCGGTATCATCCGTTCGAGAAGAATTTGTATTGCACAAAACACAACTGCGAATTACTACCGCCGACAGCGATGCGAAAGGCAAGCAATATTACAATTTCCGCTGTAAGTCGTGCACCGAATTTCGGTATTAAGAAAACTTTTTTGATAACACTTTTCGGCCTGGCCTAATTGATCATGTTGAGTGACATTGACGAGTGGCCATCTTTTCACTCTGATCGTATCTAGCCATGGGCAAAGTACGCATGCGCGCGAATACGTACCGTTGCCCAAGCATAGCGAAATGAGATTAACTTTGTAAGATAAAATTTCTATTAGATGATAACTGATAGAGACAAGAGTTTCTTTGTATGCATTTGTACTGCAAATCCATGAAGAGCGAAGCACTTGTTGATTGTCATTAATATCTGTCCACACATTAAATCGAACCATAGTTATATACAAATGTTCGATAATTTTTAGCAGTTAATTCCCGGTAGCGCCGCACCTATAGACTGTATAGCGATACTAATAACCAATTTCTTGGTAGAATAGTTGCTTTCGGCCAATCTGACGAGTTACGATTTACTACTGTTACAGCTGCACAACGTCGTTTAGGCTGTGTGGTACGTGGCCTGACCTTTGAAGACAATTCAGTTTTCAATCCTGACTGCAGGCATCAGTGCTCATGTCAAAACGGAACTATTGCATGTGCGAATCTCTGTGCTCGAGAGCTAACTAGACCTTCAGGGCAATGTCTTAATGCTCGACTTATCTTTCTTACGCCAGGTAAACATAAATATGTTCGATAATAATTCGACACCTGGGTCTTGCCTTTATCCTGCTCAGGTCATGCCTTAACATCGCTACATGTCTCCATGCAACCTATACTCAGTTAGACTATATGTATTTATATGAAACGTACTAACTAACGATGAAACTCGGTCTAGATCTAATAAACAAGATATTTCTGATGCAGCCCTTAATAATTATATAGAAGATAGATTCGTATAGATATTGTGGCATTAACATTTTGAATGATAATATTGTTTTTTGCGGTTCATTTCACAGTTATCACGCTTACCAGCCTTCTTATCTATATCTAGCTAAACGTTGCCTGCCTAATATGTCTACATAAACAGGGATATTCAGCTGAAGTATTTACTCGTTGGTTTCCACTAGGTGACTGTTGTCGCGAGTGGATATGCGATAACCCCAACCTGAAGATGATTGGTATTCCGGGTTGCGTCCGTCAGGCCACTGAATGGACCGAATGTTCGTCTCCATGTGGGCAGGGTGTATCGTGGCGGATGTCTAACCACAACGCACAATGTGTTATGCGAAACGAGACGCGGCTGTGTATTGTAAAAACGTGCAAATCCTTCCATACAGGAACTGCCGACAGCGGTGCTAATGATGGACACTTGGTAGACGATTGAGGTCTACATAGACACTTCACGCTTCTACTGAGACGATCATAAAAACGTAGGCATGCCAGACGCATGAATCGTATTTATTAACTCATATAATATCTGTGGTACACCAAACGTAGCCGAAACTGTTATTAACAATGATCATTTTCTCTTCGTGAGGTTGACGAAATTTTATATTTTGTGTCGCATTCGTATCGTCTTATTTATAAATATACATTTTTCATCTTATTCTACTTGTTTCAACTATCATCTGTTAACTTCGAATTTGATCTAGATGCTTCATCGTTGACTTTGTTAATTCATAGATGTTCTTTGGTCATGTCATGGACGACAGGATGTAAAAAAATATTGTAGACGTTCGTTTGTAAACGGTGTAGACGTTGGGGACGCTTTATTTCAACTGTAAGTCACTTAGACAAATTGAGTTTATTGTGAGACGATACTCCTGAAATAGGGATGCTCTTGTTATGTAGTCTAGATACGATGATAAACGATTCATATCAGATTGCCTAAGTAGCCTGCGACGTTTTATTACTTGATCATTGAATTCAAAATGTTCAAACAAGCCAAAACTATCCATCTTTAATTACTTATATTCTGTGTCTATATCTAGCAAGACGACATTATGCATTTATGTTAACCATTTAAACCGTGTACAAATACAACATTCTTGTAAGATAAGACTCAAATAATAATAGTAGTATGTTAAACACGTTAGAAACTTCGGGCATTTTTCCTTCCGGACTACGCTTTATCGTTTAGCGCTTGCATCCGGTCTCCTTCTAGAAATGGCTATATAAGTATAATACATTCATCGTTTTAAAGCTAGACATGTTCTACGATTTGGTTGGAATGAAATTGGCGCTGCGTAGAACACTGCCGATAGCTTGAGGCATCTGCAATAGGTACTTGCCCTTAAGCTCTTATCGTGTTCCCTATCCCTGTCCTGTGATGAGACGTTTACATTGTTGTGATTGATATATGCAATTGTCCGATGTAATTGTTAGGTACGAAGCTATCTCCTCCGTCCAGGAATCAGTAGATATGCTGTGCCTAGACAGTTCTTTCGCGGTCACACACACTTAACTGTCGTTCATGCTTTGGATTACCCATATTTCAGTTTGTTACAGCTTCTAATTTCGGAACAATTTTCTTGTAAAATTGCTAATCTTAGTGATTTACGCGAATCAACTTCATCGAACTAAAACATTGATTGAATTAACTTATGAAAAGTATGACAAGAATTGTATTTTCCTACTTCCAGGAGATTCAATTGCTGCAGACAAATATATGATTGCGTTTTAGGATTCTATCCTGATCAGAATTTTGCTTGTAAGCTAGAATAGTTTACAAATCGGCTCGAACGCCGCCCTGTAACAACAAGCCGTAAATAGATGACGTAAATTTCCACATTATGTTCCACAAGCTGCTTAAACGAAAACTGACCAGCAAGAAACGTGAAGTATATAACATATAATCTTGTAATATATTGTACCCTATTAGAGTATTTGTCTGAGACACCGAACATATTCGATATATAACGAACCATAAAAAAGTCATTTTTTCTATACTCTTCTATATGATAAATAGAATTTTATCCGTGTATAGCATAGCAGAATTCCTGATTATTTTGCAGTTTTCAACATATTTTCGTCCACCTGCGTTTCGGCTCAGCAGATATATAATATAAAGTGCATCTATAATAAACACAAACACAAGGTGCTTCAGGCCAAAACTGAAATGTTTGCATATTCTATCTCCTGGCCTTACCAGCTAATTAGTAGGCATGGCTAGCTGGCAGGTAATCAGAAGCGAAATCCATTTGTGGGAGAATTATAATTCATCAAAACTCAATCCCCGTTTGAATAAGGGCAGCTGTTTTCAGGCCGTTTGTTTGCATTCTGTCATCATAAGATTGTATCTAATCTAACCCATCGTTGACTTGCGTGCACCAAGTTCATTAAAAGAACCTTTGAAAGAAATCTGAGGTGCAAAGCGCGCTCTGACATATCTGCTTGCTGCTAAAGCCTTCACAGATCGCCCAGCTGATAAAAGAGCCGTAGAAGCTGTTAGAATCAAAGCACTATAGCTCGCGTTCTTCATGAAGCTCGCAATTTTCATTATTATATCGGGTTGTGACTGGTGGCAGTCCCTGCGTCACCTGCAGACATTGTCGCTTAGCAAAATGTATTAATCTTATATAGTATAATTGCCGTTTGCAGCTGGAGCTATAGTCTCTCATGGATTAGGTGACTCTTGAAGACACGGCAAAGTACCTATAAGAACCTCTGCAAGACTGGAAAGAAAGCAAAGGTTTTTGCTTAATCTATTGGTTTTAGGCGATATAAGCTGGTAAAACGAATTATATGCTTGAATAGAATTGCTAATAATCTTGCGTAAAGAAGGTAACAGGTTACCTGAAATTATGTCTGAGAAGCATCGTAGGCAAGCTCGTTAGCTTCAATGGGTTATTAATCTTATGCTAGTGCGTTAGTTGTTTTAAATTGCATCTCTGATGTTGGTGTTTCAAACTGTCCATGGCCTGAATGCATACAAGAGTGTTTAGAAAATGGCTAGAAAATGTCCGATTGTATAAAACATTACGATGCTAGCTACAGGTTAATCAAATGAGATCCCCCGGATCCTATACGCTAAGGCATATATGAGCCGGTGAAGTTATTCCACCTAGGGAATGACTATTAAAGTTGGTTAGTGAGCTTTAATTATTTCTAAATGATGCTTGTAAACCGTATTCAGTGTGATCTATAAATCTTGTTCGAGGCTCGCAACTTTAATAAAAAGTTACAAGAACCTATGCGACATCGACCGCTACCGCTGCTTTGAGGACTATCCTGTAATAAATCTCTTGCTATTTACTTTGAAACAACTTAATTTGTTTATATCCTAATTTATTACAAGGATCGCATTTCGTTATAGATAATAAAACTCTTCTAATTACGCTAAAGTAGTTAGCAAATATAAGCGTTACTTAGTTTAGTTCAATATGAGCACAGCGCGTCCACTGGTTAGCTACTAGTAACACTAATAATTCTAATGCACCATTAATAATTCTATGTATCAGTTGTTTAATAACCAATGCCTGTTTAACATTATTTCAGTAAAGTGTCATAAAAAATACGTACAATTATAAATTGAAAAACAGATGTTACAATCGAATCATTGTACTCCCGAATCGAAATATGCACTTTTACATATGTTCGCCGCGGAAGCAGTATTGTATATCGCTCGTTTCTCCTATTTCTTATACCATAGCGTAGTTTCTTATGAAGTAGGGAAAAGTCGTCCGAACTCCGTAGATTCATGCACCCTTTGAATAGAAATTACGTCTATCAATTGTTTTAAGTTAAATCAAGTCACATTCAAGTTGAATGTGTTATCCATGGTTTCCCGTACAGGTCGTTCCTGTTCCAGTTAATACTAACCTCGTTAAGATAACATATATATATATATATATATATATATATAAGCATATATATATATATATAAGCTCGTTTATTTTGGTCCTATTGACAATATTGCTGTACTTTAGATTATTGCTCTATGTCTTCAGTTAGTTAAGTCGAACGGATCTATAGGAACTTCGTCGTCTTTCACGATAGTGACCGCTATTGAAGATTTGATCATTTCCAATTAAATGTTCGCTTCCGCCGATTCTTGTATTTATTACCTCATATTTTAAAATAGTTTAACTTACCTAATACCTTCACTATTTAATCTATGCTACTTCTTTCGTAGTTCCCATTTTTATGAAAGTCATACAAGTTATGAGTAATAGAACAATAAGGGATCTTCTAAAATGTTACAATGTCCTTTACAGTATTGGAAAAAACCGTACTAATACAATGCTTATATGGTTGTTTAATATAATATTCCAGCGATATATAAAAATGGCTAATCCCGTCTGAATTAATTCATTGCCGACAACTTACGGTCGCACTCTCACTTATTTCTTTACGTTTTTTTAAGTGGTCTACCGTTTTGCCTACATTTTCAAATTAGTTCTTCGCGTTTTTTATTTTTTCACGAACTCTCTCGGATTTGCGTTTTACTTCCTCATAGTTTTATCACTTTACATTATTATTATTTCCCGTTTCATGCATGGATTTTTTTCTATACATATGTACTACTGCAGTTTTTACAAATTATTTTGTTTTCAAATTTACATTTGCCACACACATTTTCCAAACTGCTTAAGGACTACAATGCAAGCATACGAAGCGTAGTAAGTCGTTGGCCTTAAACAATATTGACTTGGCATTAACAATTATAAGAAAAATACTTTTAAAGTGGGCAAGTCTCCGCTGTTCTGCCGTATTCATTATGTTCACAGCTGACAAATATTATACAAACAAAACGAATCTTTCCAGGCGGCCGACATTCAACATCGTCCCAATGAGTCTATTGCTGATCGTTTAAGTTATTCTCCGAGAACTTCCATAATACGTCCAATGACTGCCTTGTAAACAAATCCAGTTTTGCAGGGATTTTTACCGGTTCAAACAACTGTTGGATCGGTTTACTGCGGCCGCCCAACTAACTATAATTTCTTCTCTTGCTGGCGGCATCGTAATGTGGGACTTCCCGTCAAAAGCGCCCCGACTGTCTGTCGGGATACTTGGGCCGACCGCTCAGTGCGAGTACTTGCGATTGTTGTCTTAACCTCAGAATGCACACACATGTGCCTTAAGAAGGCAATCCTCATAAACGGCTCGCTATTCATTGCTCGAGATCGGTTTCTGGCCTTTAATAGAGCGCAAACGTTTCTAATACTTTAATTGATCGATATTACGAAGCTATTGTTGCTAGGGCAATACCCGCAGATGCCATCACCGATACAGCACGAGTCTAGCCAAAATAGTATCGATCTTCTCTGCATGCAAGGCACGTTGAGTGCACTCAATAATGACTCAGTGACGCCCCCTTGTTGTACTCGGGTATTCTGAGGGACTGTGCTCCACATATCTAAATGCATGTATCTAAACGGAGTGACCAGACTGCCCATGCCGTTAACTTCTCGTTGACGTCAAGCAAGCCGAGTCTAGCTCTGTTATCACCTAATCACCAAATGCACGAATTTGACCATCTCAAATAATCTCGAATCAGAAAACTGGTTTTCTTTGGCATGAGACAGCGGCTTACTCGACCATACCATCGTACGCTAGTCTCCTATAAGCAGTACTCACACACAAGATCCTCATGTCACTAAGCTGGTTAGCAAAGTGCTGCAAACAGCTCGACCATCACAACATGTGTGACGGCCCAAAATATACTTCTTATTGACCGTACGAGGGCCTCTGAGCACTGCTTACGTGCCAAAATGGTTTCTGTGCCGAGAACCTCAGGCCGTGTCCGGCAAAACACTCGAATACAGGTGGTCTTGAGTATTTAGATTCTCGGCAACACAACGGAACGCCGCTTTCAGCACCCCGTGGCGATCCTGTAACATTTAACGAAACTTGTTGAAACAAGTTGTGTAAGCTGTTTGTACAAAAAACTACTGACTATCCGACGTGACCTGCTCAGTTGTCAATTCCGATGGTGGCGACCTATGTTCCGGTCCTGGAACTAAGCTTGCGGCGGGAACAGGTTGATGTGGCAGATCAGTCCTGCTGATAACGCTAACTTCTGGAAAAATTATTGCCGTCAGGTTAGCTCCGATTGCTAATCAATTAGAGGTTCATAACCCAAAAGAATATTTACTGTTATAAGTCCGCATAGTTGACAGTTTAGAGGTGTCTCGAAAACAATTCCAGCACCCAAATGTCTCCGCTCCTTTGGTAGGTGGTATGACATACGTGCCTTCCCTGAGCTACCAAAACCGTCCTGAAGAGTTTATGGATCGCCCATGACTTTCACTAATTACGGCACACCAATGGCACACATCCTTCTTACATTGGGTACGAAGGAAACGGCAACACGATCCGATGGCGTGTCTACATAGCAAACGGTAAACATCTGTTAACTTTCACCTTTGCCTCCATTTTAAAACGTAATGAGCACCCAATGAGAATTTGTATTCATCTAAAAGATTTCTAGTTTGTCGAAATGAGTCTGAATATAACACGATTGCATATGTATCGAATGGTGGTAATCTGTCGTCTATTCCCGGATAGACTTCGGGCATCGACGGTGACAAAAAAGGCGAAAATCCGAGGTGCCGCGAGCGCCATGGCTGCTATTCGTGCCGATGCTGCTTCAACCCCCATCTAAGCCTACCACGCTGGTGGATACCACTTTTAAGAATTGTCATGACCAAATAGTGCATGTGCCCGATGATTCTAGCCGCCTTCAATCTCAGACCGAAATCTGCTGTTTTGCATATAAATCGACTTATGTGGGTAGGCTCAACAGATCTATGTCAGTATTCGATCGCGTTATTGAACCATCAGCGACAAAAACAGGGAAGCCAATGGTTGTCCCTTGAATTCGTCCGGTCAACAATAATGGGCAGGATTCTGCCCGTTGCGAAATTATTAGATATTCTGCATATGCTGCTCCAGTGATCTTAGACTTTTGGCAAAGACAAAATCGGCAAGCTCGCCAGCGCGTCTGGCTAATACCTACAGAAACTGCGCAATGGGCTATAACGAGGAACGACAGATAATAACACATGGTCCCTTGAAACAGTGCTTGATAGCACTATTGGGCATATACCTTGAAACATTTTATTCTTAGGTAGTGCATGTATAGTTTTTGCATTCAGACTAATCATATTAGTTCGGCTACCGAAGCGTTGCTTGAGCACGTATATCTAAATATCATAGCTACTGTAGAATAGAATACGAGCAGCTGAGTGTAACACAAGTTATTTAACAACAAAATTCGGATATATGACACAATAGCTGCGAAAGTGCAAACTGGTCATGAACTCGAAATCGGATGT